AAAATGTACCATTATGGTGAGTGATGTTGATAATGGGGGGGGCTATGCATGTGTAGGAGCAGAGGGTATGTGGGAAACCTCTGTATCTTCCTCTCAGTTTTTTTGTAAACCTAAAACTGCTTTAAGAAAATAAACTCTTTAAAAAAATAAAATAATAATCCCTGCCTTACCCACCAGCTTCTCTAGGATATTAGGAGAATCAAGTGAAATAATTTACATGAAAGCACTTCATGTCATGTAAAATAGTATACAAGTGTTGTTATGAATTCATAATTAGTAGGAATGGAATAGAATAGATTTGGATAATTTTTAAAATAATGATTAGTTTATACAGTTTAGGCATGACCAACTTTTTGCAAATTTATTCGAAGTAATACGGTACTGTGTAAAAGATGTCAAAGATACCATATTGAAATTTTCCCCATTCTGATCCCTGCTCAGCTAATTCATTCAACAAATTTTACTTTGCCTTCTGTTTGGCAATTGTAGTGCATCTGCTATTCTACAATTATAGTAGTAATGTTACTATAGTAACAGTGTTTATATTGACATTCTTCCTCACATGCAGTGTAAATGTAAATGTGTTCATGCTTTTTCATTCTGTCCTTGGGTCAAAAGAAAAGAAACTCAAAAATCACAAGCCATAGATAATAAAAATAATTTATAAAGGGCAAAACTATTTTTTTTTAATTTTTTTTTTTTTCCCCCAAAGCCCCAGTAGATAGTTGTATGTCATAGCTGCACATCCTTCTAGTTGCTGTATGTGGGACGGGGCCTCAGCACGGCCGGAGAATCGGTGCGTCGGTGCGCACTCGGGATCCGAACCCAGGCCACCAGCAGCGGAGCGCGCGCACCCAACCGCTAAGCCACGGGGCCGGCCCAGAACAAAACTATTAAATATTTATCAATTATAACTCCACTGCTTTTTCTTCCACTTGAGAAAATCCATGGGAATGAAAGTGAATGAGAATGAACAACTATAGGGATAATCTTGAATTTGTTTTAATTTTTTTAGGTAAATTATTCATGAACTTTGTTACTTTAGCATTAGTAGCAGTGAACTACTTATGATGCATCTTCTGGCTCCTTTCAGCACATTACTATGGTGAAGCAGGTACACGGGAATTGCTGCTGTAAGGAGAACCACTCTGTTCTTGGAATAATCCTTTCCTGTGTCTGTGGTTAGTCGTCATGTTTTGGCTTCGTAGAAGCTTCCAAGATAACATGCAGATTTCAAGGAAAATTAATATATGCAATATGTAGTTATAATATGTATAGAAATTTCTGCAAGATATGAGGAAAGAGAATAGTGCTAATAATAGAATCTTACATTGAATATTTACTGTTAACAGAATGAAAGGAGGGGAAAAATAAGCAGAGTACTGTCAGTTCTGTCAATTTTAAAATAGATAAAGCCCCAAAATGAAGTTGACTATATTGCATATAATATTTTAGATAGCATTACTGTCTCTCCATCTCCTAAGTTTGGACTATGAAATCAAGTTCCTTAATAGATGTTCCTTTATCCCATGTCAGTGACAATCCTTTGAAAATTAGGAAACATTACTTTCTAACTGTTAAAATGTGAAATCTGCCATTGCCTGTTCTCCTTTTACAGTCACGCATCACATAACGATGTTTTGGTCAATGACAGACCACATATACAACAGTGGTCCCGTAGGATTAGTACCATATAGCCTAGGTATGTAGTAGGCTTGTGAAAGTACACTCTGTGATGCTCACACAATCTAGGTTTGTGAAAATACACTCTGTGATGTTCATACAACAATAAAATCACCTAATGACACATTTCTCAGAATGTATCCCTGTCATTAAGCGATGCATGATTGTACTTGTGTTTCATGGCACTGTTCAGATATATATCGATATATCTGAACAATGCCATGAAATATATATCTATATTCTATATATCTATATAGAAATATATATCTATATTCTATATATCTATATAGAAATATATAGAGAGAAATATATATCTATATTCAAAGCAGTTGCTTTGAAGTAATCATAAATACCTTCATGGGACCCCTTGTTTCAGTGTTTTCTTATAAGAATATAGTACGCTAGGGGCCGGCCCACGGCTTAGCAGTTGAGTGCGCATGCTCCGCTACTGGCGGCCCGGGTTTGGATCCCAGGCGTGCACTGACACACCGCTCATCCGGCCATGCTGAGGCAGCGTCCTACATATAGCAACTAGAAGGGTATGCAACTATGACATACACCTATCTACTGGGGCTTTGGGGAGAAAAAGGAGGAGGACTGGCAATAGATGTTAGCTCAGGGCTGGTCTTCCTCACAAAAAAAAATATATATATAGTATGTTAATAGAAAGATTGACAATTTTCAGGAACTATAGAGAAACCTCTCTACAGTGTGAACAAGGTACTTGGTAGGGTGAGTGGTCAGGATGGCATGACCACATAGTACTCTACCAGTGTATTCAAATATTTTCTTTGTTTTGTTGTTTTGATGAACAGTGGAATGATGTGGTGGATTTTTCTAATATGGGACTGTATGTTCCAAATGAAGCCCTCATCAAGAAGTTAATAGTTTTATTTGGGAGGGAAAGTTTACACATGTGGTACTTTTTAATTTAAATTATATTTATTTTTTGACTAAGTACTAAAGTCACATGGTACAGGGGCTGGCCCGGTGGCTCCGCTGTGGCGGCCCCGGGTTCGCCGGTTCGGATCCTGGGCGCGCACCGATGCACTGCTTGTTGAGTCATGCTGTGGCGGCGTCCCATATAAAGTAGAGGAAGATGGGCACGGATGTTAGCTCAGGGCCAGTCTTCCTCAGAAAAAAGAGGAGGATTGGCATCAGATGTCTCAAACACCCAGTGACAACCATATCCAACTTTTTATCCTTCTAGAGAATATTTTATGCATATATAAGGAAATTAGTGTGTTTTGTTTTTTGTTGTTATTTTTACCCACAAATAACAAATATACTGTTCTGTACCTTAACAATGTATTTTAGATATCATTACATATTTGTACATATAGAGCTTCCTCATTTTTTTTTGTGGCTACATGTATACTATGTTTGGATATGCCATAATTTAACTAGTCCCCTATTCATGAACATTTAGGTTGCTTCAGCCTCTTACTATTAAAAACAATGTTGTAGTGAATAACCTTGTACATGTATTGTTTTGCTCATATCTATAGGATAAAATACTAGGAGTAAAATCATTAGATTTAAACTTATGTGTATTTTAATTTTGATTCATAGTGCAAAACTGGTCATACACCTCGTCTGGGTAGGGTTTTTCTTTGTTTTTAGTTGAAATCTAATTTACAAAAAATGAAATTCACAGTTTTAAGTGTACGATTTGTTGGGAAGGTTATGCCATTTTACATTATAACCTGCAGTATATGAGATTGCCTTTATGTTGTAGTCTCACAACACTGTGTTGAGAACTGTTTAGTTTTTATATTTTTGCCAATACTAGAGGTGAGAATGATATTGGGATAGTTTTTGTTTTGTTTGCTTATTTACTATTTTTACTAATTACAACTTACATACAATAAAGTCTACAGATCATAAGGGTACAGCTTGGTGAATTTTTATCGCCATCCAGATCAAGATATAGAAATGTCCAGCATCCCAGAATGCTCCCTTCTATCCTCCTCTCCCCCCCACAAAATAACCACTATTCTGACCTCTATTACCACGGGTTAAGTTGGTCTGTTTTTGAACTTCATATAAAGGGAATCATGTAGAATATACTTTTTTGTGTCTGGTTTCTTTCTTTATTATATGTGAGATTCAGTCATGGTGTTGTGAGTACCTGTAATTTATTCTGTTTGTTGCTGTGATTCAACTACTTGAATATACCACAATTTATCTATTCTACTGTTTATGAATTTTTGGTAGCTTTTACTTTTCAGCTTTTACAAATAAAATTTCCATTAACACTCTTGTACATGTCTTTTGGAGGAGTTAAGCACTCGTTTCTTTTGGCTATTCCCCTTGTCTGGGTAGGTTTTGTTTGTTTTTAATTGAGGTCTGATTTATAAACGGTAAAATTCACCAATTTTTAGTGTACAATTGGTTAGGACATAATTCCCCATGAGTCTCTTGCACTTCTGCATGTCTTATGAACAAAAACCCTGACTACGTTTTTTCTAGACTATTTTTTCAAGGATATTAGAAGATAGAAATGGCTTCTCTCCATAGAGCAAAGGACAGGTTTGCTTACACCCTTGGAAAATAGAGATAATGGTTCCTTCCAAAATAAAGGATGTCTTCGTGTGGACATATATTCTTATTCTCTTGGGTATAGTCTTAGGAGTGGAAATGCCAAGTCTTACAGGGTGCTTTTAACTTGGTAAAGAACTGCCATATTGTTTTCCAGAGTGCCTGTATCATCTTGCATTCCTATCTGGGTAGTTTTAATTTGCATCTCTCACTATGAGTGAGATTGAAAGTATCATTTCATATGTTTGAGTTACTTGTATTTCCTTTTCTATAAATTGCCTGTTCAACTCATCTGGCCTGTTTTTCTAAGAGATTTGGAATTTTTTAGTGATTTATAGGCATTTTTTCATGTATCGGGATATTTTGGTCATGCTATGAGAATTGCAAACTTTTTTTTCCATTTTCTCAAGTATCTAGAGGTTGCTTATGGTGGGTTTTGCTGTGGAGAAATTTTTCTCTCTGAAGTTCTCAGTCTCACAGAGTACTTACTAATATTGCAAGACTTCGCATAATAAAGAAACAGGATTCCTCTTTTAATTATCCTTAAAGTATAAATTATGTTTTCCAGCAATATTTTACGTAGCCCGAACTTCAATGGGAATAAAGAAAAATATTGTGAAGACTTAAACTTGTTTTCTGCATTCTCGGAAGAATTTTACCGCCTTTTAGAAAACAGCTACACAATGGAAACAATGGAAACAAAAGAGCTTTAGAAATTGTATCTTATGTGTAATGAGAAAAAATACTAAAAGTAATATTACATTTGTCTTTTACAGAAATATCTATGCAAGATGTTGACATTGCAAACTTGGATAGTGCAAGCCTTGTTAGTTTTCCTCACCACTGACTCTATAGGTAAGGTTTATGAAATACCTGACCTTCTGACCCCAGAAATTAGGTTTATATATTTTTTATATAATTATGTATTTAAGCTTATGCTTAGTAATTATATAATTATGCTTATATATTTATTCTTTCTAGGATCATTACTGAGAGAATAATGTTGTTTTAAAAATGATATTAAGAAGTAAAAATACTCTTGTTAAATTATAATTTGTATAATTTGAGAAACAGTCACTCAGTAATCCTAAATGCTGTTTAACTATACTAATAGTAACTTTAAGGTATGGAAGGAAAAAAATGTGTTTTTTTTTTTTTCTTTAAATAAAGAAGTAGAAAATCTGTTAACTTTTAACCCTTTACTCCTTAATGGCCAAAGGTGTCACTGAGCAGCAGTGTGATTGTGATACCAGAATAAAAGATCACTTAGAGCAGTACTGCTTAAACTGGTCCACAGCCTGATGCCTGTCTGACTACTGATCCACAATGAGATAAGTACAGAAATTAAGAATAAATGTTTAGAAACTCTTTTAACAATTGGACATAGCTGTGACATCCAAGCATGTGATCAGTGGACTTGTCTCATGGGACATAGTATAGAACAAAAGTGTAAGTCTGCAAAGGATTGGGGGAAAAAAACCCAAACCAGTCCTTCACCACAGATAGTTTGAGAAGCACTGCTCTAAGTCAACTCGTCTCCAAATCCAGGAATGCAGCTTCTTTTTGAATACTTCCAGTGACGGAAAGCTCATGTTGAAAATCTTTCTTATTTAGAGAGTCTTTCCTTATTCTTGAACTCAAATTTTCCTCCTTTAACTATTTTTCCATTAATCCTAGTTCTAGAGTAGGCCTACTTTCTCTTCGCACTGTTCAGTTCTTCAAGTATTGAAGGACTGCTTTCATGTGTCTCTAAGCCCTCTCTTCCCAAACTAAACTTACCCACTTATCCTCATCATTCTTTATAGGACTTGGCTCCAACCCTGTACGTACTGAGTACCCTCCTGATTGTTCTGTTTGTTGCCCATAGCATATTTAAAATATAATACCATCCAACCTCTCCCACTTACCAGCTGTAGGACTTTGGCCAGTCACTTAATCTGTGCCTCAGTTTCCTGATCTATAAGATAGGGATAATAATGGTTCCTCCCTTTAGGGTTATTATGAGGATAAAATGAATTAGTGTACAGAAGGCATTTGGATAGAGCCTGGCCCACAGTAAGCCTTATAAAAAGGATAGTAATTATATATTTATTATTAAGGTTTGAATAAAATGCACTTAGAAAAAAAATAATGCAATTAAGACATAGTCTGAGTATAGTGACTTTATTACTTTGATCTGAACATCGTTTTTATTAAAGCAACATAGTTTTTTTGCCAGCTAAGATAAACCGTAGTTTCCTATTAAGCTACCACTCAGTGAAAATTCTCAGGTTGTTTTCACATGAATTACTTTTAAGCCATTTCTCCCTCACCCTATATTTATTTCTTATCAACCTAAATAGGAGGTATTTTCCTCTCCGGCAGAGTTCATTTTATTAGTTTAGGCTATCAGTCTAACCTTTTAACATAATTTTGAATCATAACATTATCATTCAAAGTGTTGGCAATCCTTCATAGTCTTGTCCTCTGCTAATTTGATAAGTGTGTGTGTGCCTCTCTCTGTTTTCCCCCAAGTTGTTGATAAAAATGTTGAAAATAAAAGGACTGGCCGGCCCCGTGGCTTAGCGGTTAAGTGCGTGCGCTTCGCTGCCGGCGGCCCGGGTTCGGATCCCGGGTGCGCACCGAGGCACCACTCCTCCAGCCATGCTGAGGCCGCGTCCCACATACAGCAACTAGAAGGATGTGCAGCTATGACAGACAACTATGTACTGGGGCTTTGGGGGAAAAATAAATAAATAAAATCTTTAAAAAAAAAAAAAAAAGAAAAGAAAAGAAAAGGACTACATTATCTATTGCTGCCTCACAAATTACTCCAAAACTTCATTGCTTAAAATGACGATAATTATTATTTCTCATGGTTTATGTGGGTCAGGAATATAAACAGGCACAGCTGAACTGGTTCATCTTTGCTCTGTGGTGTCTGGGGCTTCAATATTCAAAGATTGGGGGCTGGAATCATCTGAAGGCTCATTCACTTATATGTCTAGTGTTGATACTAGATATGTAGGCTGAGGGCTTTGCTGAGGCTGTTGGCCAGAACACCACACGTGGTCTCTCCGTGTGGCCGTGGCTTCCTTTCCACATGTGGCTGGTTTCCTAGGCCAAATCTCCCAAGAGAAAAAGAGAACTAGTCAGAAGCTGTATTCTTTTATTGATCTAGCGTTGGAAGTCACGTAGCACCCTCTGTTGGCTAGGGTGGACATAAGCACCCACACAGATCTAAAGATGGGAGGGGAATTGAGACCCCACATCTTTGTGGGAGTATTATCAGTCACACTGTAAGAAGAGCCTGTGGGATGGGATAAATATGTAGATGTGACCATCTTTGGAAAATACAGTCTGCCCCAAGGACTGAGGGCAGGCACTTCAGCATACTCTACTCAAGACCTTCCTCTCATTGACTTTTTTCTTAGTCAATATTTTTTATATATGAGGAGTCAACCAATTAAAAATCTGTTAGTTTGGGGGCCGGCCCTGTGGCCTAGTGGTTAAGTTTGGCACACTCCACTTGGGCAGCCCGGGTTCAGTTCCGGGACGCGGACCTACACCACTTGTCGGCGGGCATGCTGTGGCAGCAATCCACATACAAAGCAGAGGAGGATTGGCACAGATGTTAGCTCTGGGTGAATCTTCCTCAGCAAAAAAATAAATAAATAAAATTTTTTAAAAAAAATCTATTAGTTTGAAATTATGGAATTTCTGTTTTTTTAGATCAAGAACAGCCAAATATCAGCAGTTTTGCAGTGCTTATTCTAATATCTGTTACAGTATAGTCCAATCCACATTTCTTCATCTTGTCCACATGAATACCCCAACTAATCTCTATCAAATACCTTTTTTTAAATTAAAATACTCTCCTTCTACAATTTAATCTCAAATAGCCTAATAGCCCTATAAAAATGGGATTAATTTGGCATAGGATGGTTTTAATGAGCCTCTGTTTCACTTTGAGAACTGAAACATTTGCCCATTTCTAGTATTTCTCTCATTCTATCTGAATAAGAATTATTAATATTGAGTCTCTGGTTATAGCTCATGTTCTTTAATACTCTAAAGTGTATTTCCTATTTACTATTCCCTATTATTAATTTAGTGAAAGTAAAACAGGAGTAATTTTACCAAGGAATAAAGTGAGATCTAGGAATTTGTAAGGACTGGCTCACTATCACAGGGTAACTTAATACTCCACAAGATGAAGTTCTATACAATTGAAAATTTAGAGTAATGTGTGCACTGGGGTTTAGACATGTATAAATAATGGCAAGGTCGTATAAACAGGCCATATTATAAGTTTTGAAACAGAAATACATATTCCGACTCTGGGCTTGAAACACACTTAACAGAGGTTCGAGGATTCCATTGAAGATTCCACCTTCAATGAGAGGTCTCAGGATTCCAGTTGGGAATACAAGTTTGACTGCAAAAACTGTTTTTAAATCTTCCTGCTGACTTTGAGAGATATGGAATAAGAAAATAATTGTTTATCTTTTTAAGGTAGTTTTATCCTTTGTGCCACATACAAAATAGAGGAAGATTGGCAACAGATGTTAGCTCAGGGCAGATCTTCCTCAAGCAAAAAGAGAAAGATTGGTGACAGATGTTAGCTCAGGGCGAATCTTCCTCAGCAAAAAAAGGAAAAAAATTCTGAACAGTGAGGCTAGAGAAGTAGATTAGAATCATGCCAAATAGTTGGGAATTTTATCTTGATGGTAATAGGTAGCCATTAAATAATTTAAAATAGGGAAATGGCATAATCAAAATTTTGAACAGTAACTCTTGCAATAGTATGTAGCATAAACTGGAAGGAGGTCAGACTGTGCTATAATATGATGGCCTGAGCTTCAGCAGTCAAAATAGGGTTGGTGAGAAGAGGTTAATACACATAGTAAGAATATAGAACCAACAAGACTCAGTGTAGTATTATTAAGTTGGAGGTAGGAGAAAGCTAATTAGAGATGCTGAAGGTGACACAAGGTATCTGGCCTAGATGACTAGATGGGAATGGTGCTGTTAGCAGAGGTAGACAAAGAATAAATTTGAAAGTGACTGTGATGCATACAGTTTTAGACATGTTCATTTTAAACAGTGACATGTTCATTTAGACATGTTCATTTTAAAGTACCTACGGAATATCTCAGGTGGGTATGTCTCACAAGCTATTGAAAACATAGGAAGGTAGAACTAGAGATGGGGATTTAGATGTCATCAACATGGAGTAGGTGATAGTTAAAGCATATTGTCTTTTATTTTTTTATACAATGTGATTCTTTGTTTTTTAGTATGGGATTTTATCCCATACAACTTATTGTAAAAATTAATATATTTGGCCATCTTGTTCTATTCTTTCTGTTTTTTATTGCTCCTTTGCTGTTTCCTTTGCTGTCTGAATTTTGTTATATGAATGATGTATGTTATCTCTCTGTGCCCCTATCTGCACCCCCAACAGCATTCAGGACTGGAGAGTAGCAGAGACTACCACTGCCTGTTTTCTGGAAGGTTTAATTTAGACCTTGGATCTGAGTCAAGGAACAGGATTGATGGAGCAAGTATGAATCATGCTGCAGGCAGTGTGTGTTTTCTAAAGCAAAGTTAGAATATTATTAAAAAAATGGCTGAAGCTTACATAGGTTTTTTTTAATCCAGCTCCATCTGCCTTACAATTTGTACATTTCTTTAGAAATTTAGGCATTAAATTCTGACCGTATTAATTTTCACTGTTTCTTCTTTTTCTGTGTCTTTAGAGATATTTTAGTGAAGATTGAGGGACCGCCTTGATACAAAACATTTTGTACCAGAAAAACTCAATCCATTTTTATATTTTCTGTTGTTCCTTTTCAGGTGGACTTCTAGATCCATGTGGTTATATCAACCCTGAATCTCCAGTTGTGCAACTTGGTTCTAATTTCACTGCAGTTTGTGTGCTAAAGGAAAAATGTATGGATTATTTCCATGTAAATGCTAATTACATTTTCTGGAAAACAAACCATGTTACTGTTCCCAAAGAACAATATACTGTCATAAACAGAACAGCATCTAGTGTCACATTTACAAATATACCTTTATTAAATAGTCAACTCACTTGCAACATTCGTACATTTGGACAGATTGATCAGAATGTTTATGGAATCAGAATAATTTCAGGCTGTAAGTTTTATTTTGTTTTTGTCTTATTTCAGACTTTGTCATGACTGTTGAATTGCATTTTTAGTGTCTGTCTGTCTCTATGAAATGCAGTAACTTGTCGGCTCGTGACTTTTATACATATATATTTTTTTAAAATAAGCTTAGAAGTGGAACTACATTTGCATTACTTATATATAAAAAGCCTGAAGAGTAACACAGGTTTAATATCTTTCCTGAAAGTCAAGCATCTGTCAGTATTCTAGAAAAATATGTTGATGTGAAACTCCCAAAAAAGTGTTGTTGAATTGAAATCTGTGAACGTATTCATAGTAACTTTCAGTATCCCTTAATTACTGAGAAAATGCGCAAGTAAAACAGCTACCTAAAGAAGGTGAATAAGTACTGGAGAAAGTCCTTCTTCTATGTCAAAGTGAATAAGTAACTTAGTACGATCCAAGAGTGGATTATCAAATTTGTGGATCACCCGAAACTACGGTTTTGGCATTTGCTTTTCCTTTAGTAGAGTTTGGGAAGGCAATAGAAAGAGAAATATAAATGAATGGTTTTTGCTTCTATTTAATTGCCTGTTACTAATATGCAAATATTACTTTTTAAAATATACTTAATGGAGAAATCAGATGATCCAGTTATAAATGAAAGTTGATTTTGTGTAGAAAATTAATTTGATACATACAAGTTAATGACAATTATGATAGAAAATGTATATTAGTATCTAGAAAGTTTGAGTTTAAATAGAAAAGAAATTAATTTTTTAGTCACCAGTCTTTCATTATGTCCACACTTTTTGCTTGGGTTTGTTTTTTCTATCTAATTTAGGTTGTAAATGTCTAGGTTATAAATTGCATGTTATTTGTGGATATAAAACTTTTTGAAAATTGCTAATTTTTCCCTTTTAGTGCCTCCAGAAAAACCTAAAAATTTGAATTGCATTGTGAACGAAGGAAAGAAAATGATGTGTCAGTGGGCTCCTGGAAGGGAAACATACCTGGAAACCAACTTCACTTTAAAATCTGAATGGCAAGTTATTTTAAGTTGGTTTTATGTTGAATTTATTAAGTTAATCATTTGTGCTGGAATTTTTATCGTGTCAAGTAGTAATATTAAATGTAAATTTTTAAACATTTTATTTAACCTTTTATTTTAGAATGTCTGAAACTATAAAAGAATAGTATAGTAAATCCCCGTGTGCCCATCATCCAGTTTCATAATGATCAGCTCATGACCAGTCTTATTTTATATAATACCCCACCCTAGATTGTCTTAAAGAAAATCTCAGACATGGTATCATCTCATCCATAAATATTTTAGTACATATCTCTAAAAGAAAAGGACACTTTTTAGAAAAACATAACTACATGCCATTTTTACACCCAAATGTACAATCATGCACTACATAACGACGTTTTGGTCAATGACAGACTGTATATACAACAGTGGTCCCATAAGATTAGTACCATATAGTCTAGGTTTGTAGTAGGCGATATCTAGGTTTGTGTGAGTACACTCTATGATGTTTACACAACAGCGAAATTGCCTAACGATACATTTCTCAGAACATATCCTCGTCCTTAAATGTTGCGTGACTATAATTGAAAATACTTTAATGTTGTGACATTTTCAGTTAGGGTTCAGATTTCCCCAGTTGTCTCATAAATATATGTATATATTTTTACATTTGTTCAAATCAAATAATCCCCATACATTGCAAATTGATATGTCTTGTAAGTCTCCCTTAACCATAGGTTCTACTCGCTTCTCTCTCCTTTCTTTTTCTTTGCAATTCAGTTTTTAAAATAACGGTTATATATTGCTTAATATATTCCTCTGCCCCTTTATTTCCTAAATATTGCTGTTAGATCTAGACACTTGATCAGATTTGGGTTTGATCCCCGCCCCCCCCCCAAATAATTCATAGGAGTGGTGTGTACCTGCATCAGGAACCACTACATAATGTTTGATTGTTTTTCTTTTTCTGATGCTAAGATTAAGCAGTGGTTTCAGGTCTTGTCAGCCTGATCCATTCATTATAAAATTCCTCATTAGTTTTTTTCAGACATGAAGGAAAGTTGAAAGAATTTTACAGTGAATGCTTATTCATACCCATTACTACATTCCACAATTAACATTTTACTATATTTGCTTTATTGCATAACTGTCTGTGCATCCTTCTCTCCATTTATCAATCCACCTTTCTTTTATCATTTCAAAGTGAGTTGCAGACATTAGTATACTTCACCCTTGAACACTTGAGAATTTACATCATTAATTAGATGTAATTAACTACATGTTTACAGGTATGTTTTTGTTTTTAGGTAAACTTTATGTATATCTTAAAATATACTTACATATCTTAAATGTATCATTCAGTGAGTTTTGACTAATGCGTACACCTGTGTAACTCAAACCCCTATCAAGATATAGAACATTACTAACATCCGTAGAAAGTTCCGTCATGCCCATTCCCAGTTAATCCCAGCCACCACCGTATCCTACCTCATCCCACAAGGCAACTGCTTGTTTGATTTTTCTTTGCTCTAGATTTTTGCCTGTTTCAGAATATCATAGAAATGGAATCATACAGTATCTACTCTTTTGCGAAAGGTTTTTGTGACTCAGCAGAATGTTTCTGGGATTTAACCATGTTGCTTCCCATTAGTTTTTCACTTTTAAGATTTGAGCAGTCATCAGTGATCATTATTTGTATATAAGGTACAAAACAGTGATATTCTATCTTTTTTTTTTTTTTACCTGAAATTCTTAAAGAAAACCTCCCTTCGTCAACTGTTGGTTACCCTGAGGTACAGTTCATATAAGAGAAGCAAAATGGTATTTTCCCTTTATTATTCAGTTTTATAATTAGTTGGTTCCTTAGTATGCTCCAAAGGTAGATAGATAATGAGGGGTTTTTTCCCTCATTATGAATTCGTATTTAAACATATTTGATGTGTTATGGTTATTATTCTTCTTGATATTTAAACTGTTCCATCTTGGGTTAGTGAACTTACTCAGATTGGCTCATCCTTTGGATACAACTTCATTAGTCTTTGATAGCTTCCTTGATTTCTGATATGACATGATTTTCTAAGTTCATCTTAATATATTTCCTCCCCTAGACCTATCCATTTAGTGTGAAATACCAGTTAGAGACTACAGTCTGGGTGCTAAGGGAACTCATTGCTACTGGGTGATCGTTGTTTCTGGGCCTTTGCAGTGGAAAGAGCTAGGAAATGTTTTTAAGATACAATACATCGTGAACTCATTCTGATATTTCCAGTTTAAAATCCAGACTATGGGTTTTTACTTCATTTCATCTATCTAATTCTCTGTATCTTCTTTCTGCTGTGCTGAAAACCTTCATTTGCAACACCACCAACATAATTATTTATTTGCTTTGTCTCACAATAAATACAACAGCTGCAGAATAACAGTGTCAATATTAGGACCAACAATATGATTACTAAAAAGAATTTTAATATATATATTTTTTTTTATGAGGAAGATCAGCCCTGAGCTAACATCCATGCTAATCCTCCTCTTTTTGCTGAGGAAGACCGGCTCTGAGCTAACATCTATTGCCAATCCTCCTCCTTTTTTTTCCCCAAAGCCCCAGCAGATAGCTTCATGTCATAGTTGCACATCCTTCTAGTTGCTGTATGTGGGACGTGGCTTCAGCATGGCCAGAGAAGCGGTGTGTCGGTGCATGCCCGGGATCCGAACCCGGGCCGCTAGTAGCGGAGCGTGCGCAGTTAACCGCTAAGCCATGGGGCCGGCCCCTAATATTGTTTTTAAAGTTACTTGAAATAGTTCCTTTCTATGTTTTATACCACCAGCTCAATACAAGAGTTCATATGTTTCATTTTGCTTTTGATTTTTAGGAATTTTCTTAATTATGTCAAATAATAAATTAATATAAAAAGTCAAATTTATAAAACAAAGTATATTCACAGAAGTCTCAGTTCCCTGTCTGCTATACTTTATTTCCTCCCTCCCCCTAGAGGTTACTTGTTTTGGTTTTTCTTTTATTTTCAAAAATAGTGTGTATATATAAATATTCTTAATTGATGTGTAATTTAAACATATGTGAGTAAATATAGTAATATCACTTGTAACTTTCTGTGGTGATAGAAATCAAAAAGTGGTTGCCTGGGTTTGACTAGAAAGAGGCTGAGGGAACTTTTGGGGATGACAGAAATTCTTATCCCTGTCCTCCTATCACCTCCTAGCATATTGTGCTTAGAAAAAGCACACTGGGCCTAAAGAAGACATTGCTGGTACAGGAAAGATTCCCTCTCAGGAAAGGAAAGAAACAGTACTAAGATCACAGGAATTAAATAATTTTTGGAGAAAGGTCAACAGGAATAGAGCATATTCTAAATGTAATATTCTTGGACTAAAAACTTGAAAATATTTTGCATTTTTTTTTTTTTTTTTTTGGTAAGGAAGATCAGCCCTGTGCCAACATCTGCCAGTCCTCCTGTTTTTTTGCTGAGGAAGACTGGCCCTGGGCCAACATCCGTGCCCATCTTCCTCCACTTTATATGGGATGCTGTCACAGCATGGCTTGCCAAGTGGCACGTCGGTGCGTGCCCGGGATCCGAACCGGCGAATGCCGGGCCACCGCAGCGGAGCACGCACACTTAACCACTTGCGCCACCGGGCAGGCCCCTGCATTTTAGGATAGACATCAAACTCAGTTGTAAGGAAAAACAAATTACCTTTTAAGAAATTTTGTTTTTAGTGATCATAATTTATTCCAAATTTAAGGGAATTAACTTATTTATTCTAAGCTATAATAATCTGGGTCTCATCAAACTCTTTTCGAGTAGCCTTTTCACTCTCATTTTTTGAAATCTATTTTTAATGACTGATTCCTCCTTTTTTGCATTTAGGGCAACAGAGAAGTTTGATGATTGTGAAGCAAAACGTGATACCCCCACCTCATGCACTGTGGATTATTCTCCTGTGTATTTTGTCAACATTGAAGTCTGGGTAGAAGCAGAGAATGCCCTTGGGAAGGTTACATCAGATCATATCAATTTTGATCCTATAGATAAAGGTAGTTATAAATCTGAATTTGAGAATTTATTAGAATATACAGTGGTTTAAAAATTAAAGTAGTTTTTAGATTTTAATTAATGTAGAAACAAGCATTTATTTTATTATCTTAGTGACTTTTACAAATTCCTTTTTGTTTTTTTGTAAGTAAGACCAGCCCCGAGGTAACGTCCATGCCAATCCTCCTTTTTTTGCTGAGGAAGACTGGCCCCGGGCTAACATCTGTGCCCATCTTCCTCCACTTTATATGGGTCGCTGCCACAGCATGGCCTGACAAACTGGGCATTGGTGTGCGCCCGGGATCCGAACTCAGGCCACCAGCAGCGGAGCACATGCACTTAACCACTAGGTCACGGGGCCGGCCATACAAATTCATTTTATCAACAACATTAAGAATAATTTGGAAAAAGAAAAATATCCATAATCCCAGGACACTCACAGCTATTTTTACTTTGGATATTCTAGTATTTGTCCAATTATCAAATATTTTACAGCATTGTAATCATAGTATACCTGTTCCATTTTTATTCTTTTTAAAATTTTATAAATCATAAACATTTAATTATCTTTTGATATCTGAACGTGAAAAGATTAACAAATGTAATAAAGTGACAAGGAAAACTAAAGTTTCTTTAGAAAGCTTTTCTTTCCATTTATAATACTATGGTGTAGCATTGTTTTCAGAGAAATTAGTTTATTTGGTAAGAATAAATTAATATTGTGAAATAAAGAAAATGTAAAGAGTATATTTGAGTTTATATAAGAAGTTGTGAAATTAAAATATGATAAACATTGGAATTTATTTTATTCTTCAGTGAAGCCCAATGCACCACATAATTTGTCAGTCAACAACTCAGAGGAACTATCTAGTATCTTAAAATTGACATGGATCAACTCAAATATTAAGAATTTTATAACACTGAAATATAACATTCAATATAGGACCAAAGATGCCTCAACTTGGAGCCAGGTAAATTGAAAGTTACTGTTTATTCAGGTGGTCTTTCTTGCAACCCTTTAACCTAAAAGTCCCAATCATTTTCTGAATGTCTTAAGTGTCTGGTTATGTGAAATATTTTACTTGACACCTCTTCTAGATCTGTATTTCAAGCAAGGGCAGACAGAAAGACATCCAGATGGAAAATATAGTTTTGCTGCATACAGTAGCTTTTAAGTGAAATTATGGAAGTGATGCAGGGTGGTAGGGAATAGCATTTTTGATGGGAGGTGAAAGGAACACAAATAATAAGCAGATTACATGGAGTGAAAATGAGGAGATTATATGAATAAGGTAGAGCAGAAGTTGGCAAACTACATCTACAGGCCAAATTCAGCCTGCCACCTGTTTTTGTAAATAGAGTTTTATTGGAACATAGCCACACACATTTGTTCACATATTGTTTCTGGCTATTTTTGTGCTACAATGGAAGAGTCCAGTAGTTGCAACAGAGGCCATCTGGCCCACAGCCTAAAATATTTACTATCTAGCCCTTTATAGAAAGTTTGCCAACCCTTGAGGTAGAGAATAGGTTTGGTGGGGAACTTGTAAGACTGAAAAGGAAAAGAACAGTGTAACCAAAGATGATACTGTCAGCAAAAAGAATACTTGGAGCTTTTTAAAAGGCTATCCCCATGGCATTGAACTTCCCTTAATATTCTTTGTTATAACTCTATTTACCACTAACAGTGTGCTTTTGCTTTGTTTCTGTGGTTGCAATAATGAGCTTATAAGGAAATTGAGCCCATGACCTTACTACTTTTGTCCTCCATTCCACTTATGTAAAGGGCTCAGAATATAACCAGAAAAAGCAACAAACCAAAATGGATTAATGCTTCCTGTTGTACAGAGAGGATACTATACCCGAGTTCTTTAAAATATTTTTTAATATCATAGCATCTTAATTCATTGGTAGAAAAATGACTGACACTTATTTTGTTATCCAGTATTGAAATTGATACTAGAAAGAACCAGTTATTTATCTATGTTTGGTCTCCTCTTTTTTCCTGAAAACCAAGTTTATCTACAATGATAGCTTTAGTCTTTCTTGATTGGGCTAGATATCTTCCTTTTACCTATCCAGATCTTATACTCTACCCTTCTTCACCCTACTCTTTGTCTTGGGCTGCTGACTTGTATGGATTTCATATGTGGGTTCCTATTCCCTCTAGTTGCCTAGTGAGTTTGGTTAATGGGAGGAGGGGACCTGGCAAGAGAGAGAGATAGAAGTGAGATCAGCACATTTGTTTTCCCTGCTTCCTCCCTAGAGCTGCCCCAGGTGTCTCAGCCTAAGGTCACTGCTCCTCTCAAGTTATTCCTATCTGACCCTCTTCCAGGTTCTGGTACCTTCCCTCATCCCTTTGGACTTAGGGGTGGTAATAGCTACAAGCCTCAGAGTACTGACTACACTATCTAGGTTTCCCTACACTCTGCCCTTATTCCCTTTAGTAAACTCTCCTTGAATTAAATTCTAATTGGAATGTGCCATCTTTTTCCTGCTGAGACCCTGAGTGTTATAAGCCCCATGGAAGAAAGAAAACTAAAGGAAGAAAGGATTAGTAATAGATGTTTTCATACTTCCCAAGTCTGTTAACTTTACTGATTTTGACTGCTTTTTGACTTACATTTATTTCTCTCCAGATCCTGAGTTTAATTTATTAGTCTTGTTTCATTAAATTAGTTTCTAAAATCTTAAGCATTTTAGAAGACCGATAGTAAATACCATTGGGTTTATTGTTGGTAAATTCACTTTATTTTCAGATTCCTCCTGAAGATACAGCATCCACTCGATCTTCATTCACTGTCCAGGACCTTAAACCTTTTACAGAATATGTGTTTAGGATTCGTTGTATGAAGGCAGATGGTAAAGGATTCTGGAGTGACTGGAGTGAAGAAGCAAGTGGGATCACATATGAAGATAGTAAGTCAATAAGTATATGAAGAAATAAAGCTAGCATTGGAATTCTGGCTATGAACTGTGTCTCATATTAGACATCATTGCTTCTTATTTTGTGATCATTTTAGCCAAGCTAGTGTTTTACACTTTTATTTTTAAGGACATCAAGATATAAAATTTAATTGCATTATTGATAGTATAAATCTATTTGATACCTAAAAAATTATCATGGGATGGTGTCTTAGATACCATGAGAAAACCATTGACTTAACGGTTGATAAGTCCAGAACATTTTTTAAAGGAGAGTGGTCCAGAAATATCCCTAAGTGGAGAATTATATCCTGAATCATTAAAAGCGCTCTATCTAGCAAAATATACCTTAGACCTTCACCATCAGAAAGATATTTATACTATATTTTTTATTTATTTATTTATTTATTTTTTAATAATTTTATTTATTTTTTACCCCCAAAGCCCCAGTAGATAGTTGTATGTCATAGCTGCACGTCCTTCTAGTTGCTGTATGTGGGACGCGGCCTCAGCATGGCCAGAGAAGCGGTGCGTTTATGCCCCCCCGGGGTCTGAACCTGGGCCGCCAGCAGCGGAGTGCGCGCACTTAACCGCTAAGCCACGGGGCCGGCCCTATATTTTTTATTTATATTTTTCTACCGGCACTTGATAAGCCCCTGGAAAAAGATCTTGGAGTTTTGGTTGGTTGGTTGATTTTCATTTTTCTTTTTTTCCCATGATTATACAATGCATATAGTATAGAATCTAAAAGGTGTAAAAGGATATATGGTCTAAAGTAAGATTTCGTCTCCAAAGCAGCTAACATTACTAATTTCTTCTGTAGCCATCTAGAAATAGTCCTATGGCATATAGATTTTTCTTTTTGAACATTTTCCTATCACAGTCTCACACTTTAGGTGTCAGTGGCAGCAGCCATGGCTTTAAAACCTCCCCTACCGTCTATATCCCTTCACTTCCAGCTCTGCTAAAGGTTTAGATAGTTATGTGAATTGAGAATGCCATAGGCAGAAAAGTAAAGTACACTTCTCTGCTAATAATTTTCTTTCATTCTTGTAAATGCCAGGAAAGAAAGCAGTCCTGCTGTTGCGGGTTTGGGGTCCTCAACCAGATTCCGTTGTCTTGGCCAGGAATTCTTAAACTGAGATTCTTGGGGCCGTTAAAGGTACTTAGGTCAGTTTGGGGGAGTACCTGAACTACTTTTTTTTTTTTTTTTTTTTTTGCTGAGGAAGACTGGCTCTGAGCTAACATCTATTGCCAATCCTCCTTCTTTTTTTCTTCCCCAAAGCCCCAGTAGATAGTTGTATGTCATAGTTGCACATCCTTCTAGTTGCTGTATGTGGGACACGGCCTCAGCATGGCCGGAGAAGCAGTGCCTCAGTGCATGCCTGGGATCCGAACCCGGGCTGCCAGTAGCGGAGCGCACACACTTAACCGCTAAGCCACCAGGCCGGCCCTGAACTACTTTAAAATGTAGACACAATATTGTGGTTGATGCTTTGTGCATTTTCTGAGGAGATGATACATAACCTTTGTCAAACCAGAGAAATGTCTGGAGCCCAAAAAGTTATGAACCATTGGATTAAGCATTTCTTTAACTTAGTAAATGAAGCCTCTAGGTTCTCTTCAGGAAATATTTCTGGACTATAAAATTTTCTTTATAATTTCATGTTCTTTATTCTTTTTGGATGCTGCACTATACTCTAAAACATATCTGTTTGAACCCCCTGTACCAGCAAGCCTTTTCCCCAGCCTTCCTGGTCTGCTTTTCCTCGTTTCTCTGTTTTGTCATCTGTAATTGCCTCTTCATGATCAACACATCACTGCTTAGATTTTATTCAGATCCTTTTTTATTCTATTGAATACCGTATTTTGTGATTATATTATAAAAGTTTTGAAAAATCAGTTGACCCTACAAGAATTTTTAAATCCTAATTACTAGCATTTCATACTTTGTTTTATAAAGTGCTTTTTGACGTGGTTGATGATTATCACAACAATCCTGTGAATTCATTTTTATTATATCCTATTACACTGAATCATGCCAACATAAGGTAATAAACTTATACTACATTTACTCCATTTATTTTAATTTATTTTAGATTCCTACATATATATATTTAGGGGGTTTAATCATGTATCTTAAATATGATTTTTCAATTTTATTTTTTGTCGTAAGAAATAGTGTTGCATCTTTGGTTATTGCTTAGGATATATTTATAGCTTTACAATTTTAAGCTTAGAAAACAGTTCCCAATATAATCTAAATCATCAAGCTCTTACCCTAAATAAAGGAAGTCCTAGGCATATTGTGTTGGGTTGGCAAAATGCTGGTATAAAGAAAGAGTTAAAGACACCATGTCATTGAAGGGCAAGAACATTATAATTTCTAGGATTTTATTTTATTGTTACAGTAAAAACTTTTATTTTAAAAAGTTTATGTATTCCTTTAGGACCATCCAAGGCACCAAGTTTCTGGTATAAGATCGAGCCATCCCGTACTCATGGCCATAGATCTGTGCAACTCATATGGAAGGTAAAAAAAATTGCATATTTATATTTTTTAATCTCATATAAATACATTTTATATGGTATTATGAGTGGAGTTTTTTAACTTAAATTTTTATCTATCTTAATATCAGCAAAGCATTTGATAACTTTTTAATAAATAAACACATGGAGCTTTGTATATACTACACAGAAGTCAGATTCATAAACTGCACGTAATACCTCATAGATACTTAGCACAGTTTTATGAACGTTCTGTCAGAAGAAAGATGTTGTCTTTTATTGAACTTTCCTGAATGCCTCACAGAAAATAATTAATAAAGGTTTTGGGTAATCAAAATGGATGCCAATAATAGGAAATATAAAATTTTTGTGCACTTCATAAATGTGCATGAGTGGATCATACTGAAATGTAGAGAGGAATACTCAGGCCTAGAATAATTTAGACCCACATAGCCACAGTGCAGAGTTGTATACAGAACTAAAAGCTGAAAGAATGTTGCTACTTTTCCTCTTAGTTGAAGTCATGCCTTTACTCTTCATTCAGTATGTAGTAGTTTTACTTTAGTAGTGAGTTCAAAATGAAGTTGCCAGTCCCTTCCAAGTAAATATTTAGAGATTTAACATTAAAAGCAGAATTAAATAACTGATTAACTTTAAGATTTACGTTAATCTTTAATAAAAGAAATATATTTGTAAAATAAACTATTTTATTATAGACATTGCCTCCTTTTGAAGCCAATGGAAAAATCTTGGATTATGAAGTGACTGTCACAAGATGGAAATCACGTTTACAAAATTACACAGTTAATGGCACAGAACTGACAGTAAACCTCACAAATGATCGCTATATAGCAACTCTAACAGCAAGAAATCTGGTTGGCAAATCAGATGCATCTGTTCTAACTATCCCTGCCTGTGACTTTCAAGGTTTGTGTCTGTGAGATGGAGCCTGACTTAATGGATGGGAAAAGGTGGTTAAGTATGGTCAGGGCTCCCATAAAAAAGCATAAGTATTCTAAGACTGTCTCCTCAGTATCAGCAATGATTGTATTTTCAGAAATCAGTCAGCAGCCAAATAATCTGTTCCATCATTATGTGGCTCACTTAAACTTTTCAGAAAGCTACTTAGTTCATTTAATCATTTTCTGATTACTTATCTGTTTTTTTAAATATTGTTTTAAGATTTTGTGAACTTTATATGCATATGACTTAAATATATTGTTTATCTATAGCTTTATCTGTAGATTTCAAAGAAGAAAAAATTGCAATTTCTATGCACAAAACATTAGGAGAGTTTTAGGAGAGGGAGAATTTAAGTTTCAAAATAAATTGACTACTTTACATGTGAATTATAATAAAGTGCTTTAATTTATGCAAATACATGTTAAAATTATATGCTACAAAAACTGATAGCAAGATAGAGCACATGGTTATAAAAATGAGTGTAAAATATCGAAATTTCAAATTTTTAAATGTTCATTTTATCATACCAGTATTCAAACTTTGTTTTTAAAGCTACTCACCCTGTAATGGATCTTAAAGCCTTTCCCAAAGATAATGTGCTTTGGGTAGAATGGACTGCTACAAATGGATCTGTAAACAAATATATACTGGAGTGGTGTGTGTTATCGGATACATTGCCCTGTATCCCAGACTGGCAACAAGAAGACGGTACCGTACATCGCACCTATTTAAGAGGTATACCTGGCTAGAAACATTTAAGCTGATATCCTTTTTCTAACTCTTCAGACAGATTTTTCTTTTACATATTCTTTTCTGCTTTATAGGCATTGCGGTCCATTGAAAAGACTTCTAATTTAGCATAGTTACTAGTTGCATCTAGTTTACTAGATGTATGACTCAGCAAGTCACACTTAATCCCTCTGAACTGCAGAGTCTGTTTATGGACAAGGCGGGGTTAATAACTATCTTCTTTCTATACTCCAATGTTGTTTTGATCATCAAAGGAATGCTCACAAACCTGTAAAGTAAGAGAGAAATGTTAGATAAACCAAGCTCTGCTGCTAACTAGTTGTATGTTCTCTGTACCTGATTTAACTCCCTCATCTTTCAGTGAGAAAATACTTTCCGATAGCATCTGGATAACTTATTGACTTTTTTTTTTTTTAATTTTT